CCGCCGATGTTCCGAATGCGTCCATTGGCCACCGCAACAAAGAGGGGCGGGTCTGGGGCTCGGGCCTCTACAACCCTGAGCTCCGCGACGCTCTGATTGGTTCTAGGGGTTCCCGGGCGGGAGGCGGGGATAGGAATAGTGGGAGTGGGGCGGCCACGCGAAATCCGATCGCTGGGGTGTCCTGGAGCCTCGCGGGGCTGGAGCGTTTGTCCATGGGACTTAATATCGAGTTTCCCCCGGGGTCGTGGCGCTGCGAGGGTTTGCAACCGTGGGAAGCAGAGAGGAGACAGTTACCGGAGGAGCAACCCCGAGGTAGAGGAGGATTTGGAGCAGCACCTGGCTCTACCTGGGCGGATGGTCCTGCAGACAGGGACTGTTCAGATATGTGTATGCACGAAATCGAATCATAAAAAAAAAAAAAAAAAAAACCTCACATTACAAATCTCCCCCAAATTAACGAGTTAAGCCCAGATCTACTCTCTATTAGTCATGGTTTATTAAAAGTCCTTTTAAGCAATAAGCAACAAAACACCCAGGGGTCAGGCAGACTGTTAAGCCACAGTTCCTGGGTTAGAGGGGATGGAGAGCTGCTTCAAAGACATACACACCACTGAGACAGCATTTTCTTAAAACTATTTTTTAAAACTAGCTTTCAAAAAAAAAAAAGAAACTTTGCTTTTTCCATGAGAGAGGCAGAAAAAAAACAGAGACACCCCCAACAATGTCTTCCACTCTGTTATTCACCCGGGTGACTCGATTATATGTCACAGAATAACATTCGAGAATGGGACATGGAATGAGGCGACGGCCCCAGCAGCCCGAGCCCCAGGCCCAACAGCAGCTAGCCCTGATCACTGGCTGGCCTGGCAAATAGAAAAAAGCCCTGGGACCCAAACTTGGAACCTTCCCATGCGGGTCCCACATCATCAAGCTTTGTGGTACTGATGTGTCACAGGCTGACTCCCCATTCATTCATTCATTCATTCATTCATTCATTTATGGAGAGGTTTTTGCTATAGGGCACGAGCATTCACCAGAAAGACAGAGAGACAGAAAGCAAGAAATCACACTCCAGGGGGATGGCCATGCCGTAATCTCTTCTCCATTATCCTCTTGGGACCTTTGGCACGCACGTACATTCGCCAGTGCAAGTTTAAGCCACCAGGTCTGGGACTTGAACTGCGGTCGACTACATGGGAGTCCAGCGACATAGCCATTACACCAACTCTTGGTCCCAATTGATTTATTCATTTTTAAGAAATTTTTAAAAAGCTATTTATTTATTTAATTCCACTTGTTATTATTTTTTATTTGACCAGAAAGAGACAGGGAGAGAGAGAAAGGGAAGTGAGAAAGCAAGCTGCCAGGTCCAGGACTTAAACTGTGGTCGCCATGTGGGAGTCCAGTGCCTCAACCACCACACCACCTACCAGCCCCTATTTTTAAGATTTTTGCCATACGTGAGTACACTTACTGGAGAGAGATGGAAAGAGACACGGAGAGAGGGAAAGTGAAAAATCATCTCAAGAGAGAGGGCCACACCACCATCCCTTCTCCTCTATCCTCTTGGGATTTGGGGCATGTACTCACACACACCTGGCATGTTTTTCAAGCCCCTGGGCCAGGACTCCAACCAGAAGTTGGCCATGTTGGATCCAACACCTTAACCACCATGCCACCTGCTGACTCCCTTTCTAAAAATTTGCTCTAGTGTGGGGCCAGCAGGTGGTGTGGTGATTAGAGGCACTGGATTCCCACGTGGCTGACCACAGTTTGAGTCCTGGACCTGGCAGCTTGCTTTCTTGCTGTTCCTTTCTCTGTCTCTCTCTCTTTCTCTCTCTCTGGTCAAATTAAAAAGAAAAATAGCAATAACAAATGGAAATAAAGAAATATTTTTAAAAATTTTGTTACAGGGTGCATGTGCTCACTGAAGAAAAACTAGATAGAAAGACACAGAGAAAAATAGAGTGAGAAAGCACCCCTAGGGGGGATGATCATGCTGTAATCCTGTCTTCTCTATTCTCCTCTCAGTATTTTTGTGCATGGAGTCCAGCATGTTCTTCAAGCAGCCAGGTCTGGGGCTCGAATTGCATAGTCAGTCATGTGGGATGCAGCTGCCTTAGCCACCAGCTCCCTGGCTAGTCCTGCCCCATCCCCATTTTTTTTTTTTTTTTTTAAAAAAAGAAGGCAAGATGAGGTGGGAAGAGCATCAGACTACTGACCTGAGTCCTGCTCTAAATCCAGGTTTGTCCCTTGGCTGAACTGTGATAAGCCATTTCTGTGTTCTGGGCCTTAGCTGCTTCTCTCTGGAAAGAGGAGACCAAATCCTGAACTCTCCGAGGTCTGTTTGGGCTCTAAGGCTATACGATTCCCTGTCTTCCTCTCTGGCGGGTACCTAAGAACTGGGCCATAATATCCTTTCTCTTCAAACTCCAGGCCAACATACTGCTTTGAGAGGGTGAAGCCATGAAGAGAGCAATGCTACGTGAACCTTTAATGAAGAATATAGTTGTCATCTGGAGGGCGTGATGCCTGCAATTCCAGCTCCTCAGAGACTGTGCAAAGAGGATCTTGAGTTCCAGCCTAGTGTGAATACATTTATCAAAGAGCAACAAATGGCAGTTTCTGTATGCTAAACCCCATGGATTCCTATAATGACACTAGCCTTCTCCCAGAAGAGCCTGGTGAGGAGCTAATGCCATCTCTGGGGTGAAGCCAAGAGCCAGAACTCCAATGAGGAAACCTGGATTTTGAACCCAGCTCTTTTTTTTTTTTTTTTAAAGGTTTTTGCTATAGGGCACATGTGCTCACCAGATAGAGAGAGACAGAGAGACAGAAAGCGAGAAATCACCCCCCAGGGGGGATGGCCATGCCACAATCCCTTCTCCTCCATTCTCCTCTCGGGATCTTGGGCACACATGCACACGTGCCTGGCGTGAGTTTTAAGCCACTGAGTTTGGGACGCGAACCGTGGTCGACTACATGGGAGTCCAGCGACATTGAACCCAGCTCTTCATCATCATCCCCAAGACAGAGCCCAGGCCTAGGACTTCACAAATTCCATAATGAAAACAATGACCTAGGTCCACATAGACAAAGGGGGCCAGTTCATGAAAGTATCTTGAGGAATTCAACTGGAACAAGCAAACCTGAAAAAAGAATTCGGAATTTGGAAGAAAGTTATCCCCTCAGCTTGTAGCTGCCTCAGTTTTCATTTCTTTCTTTCTTTCTTGTTTTAATTTAATTTGTTTCATTTCTTTCATGATGGGGTTGAGACAGTAACCCTCAACAGGGTCTCATCACACTGCGATGGCCCCACTGCCAGCCCGGATCATGGTGCATGTGGTGTGTTTCAGGAGGACCTGGGATCTGAACCGTAGACTCAGAGTAGCTCCAGCATTGCAGGGTGGCACCGTACAGCCTGCGCCACTGTGGCTGAGCCTGTTTTCATTTCTTGATTAAAAGAGACATGCCTGGGACCAGCAGAGGGCATAATGGTTACGTCACTGAACTCCCACCTGGCCAACCATGCGGTTCAAGTCCCAGACGCAGAGGCTTGAGACTCGTGCTTGATGCTTGTGTGAGTGCCCAAATTCCCAAATGAAGAACGGAGAAGGAATTGCAGCTCGGCCATTCCCACAGGAGGTAATTTTTTGCTTTCTGTCTCTCTCTGTCTCTCCAGTGAGCACATGCACCCTGTAGCAAAAATCTCTCAAAAAAAAAAAAATGCATGCCTTAGAGAGTGATCTTCTTACTCACCTCAAAAGTCTCCCTCCCTTCCTTTTGTATTCCTTTCTTACATCTGTCCCTTTCTCACACTCCCCCCGAGTTTCCAGTCCTGGAGACTTGAATTTCAGGATGCAGACCTGCATGCAGAGGATGAGAATCTGGCCTGACAATCCCTCAGGAGAAAACTGAGCTCTCACAGTTCAGACAAACAGGCAGACTGATGAATATCGAACAAC